AAAAACAGGGGGTTTTTAAGTCTGGGTTCAATTTATTGCGTTTTATTTACTAGTGCAAGTATAGTATTATATTGATTACCTAAATTTCATGTTTTGATCAATCGGGACATTTAGAGTCCTGATCAGGTACAGACGGTACGCGTCCCCAGACACCTGAAAATCGGGATGTCCCGCGCAAATCGGGACACCTGGCAGACCTACGTATGATCCACCTGATGGTAAGCAGCCACTTTAGCCTATAGACGCTTGGGATGCCAAAAATATAAGATTACTTGTTATCGTGTCATATTATTAATTTGATCCGGTTACTAAGTTGATTCCGCGTGTGTTATCGTTATCAGGAATGAAGTCTTTGACTGTCATCTAATAAAAAGAAATGTAATAGGTATCTCTACTTTAGAGAAGGCGATGCGAAGTAATAAGTATACTTACTTTGTGGGTGGCCTAAGGCTAGAGAAAATTCGACAAGGCCGTCAGGGCCGCGGTAGCATAATGGGCAGTGCATTTGCCCGGATGGCGATGGGTGCGGGTTCGAGTCCCGCCTGCCTGGTGCGCGTGGATTTTTTTCTAGTAAACTTTTCTTTAGATTTAAACATCTAGCAGTTGAATGCTTAAAAACTAAAAGTACTTTCTTTCCTAAAAAATATCTATCACTCGCACTGTTGTCTACATTAAAACAATCCCCTGCCCCGCGGAGCCCTAGAACCTTACTGATCGACAGAAACACAACATCACCAAAAGGTAGTGTTATTTTACTGTGATCTTTTATAAGGTGGAGAGTTTTTCCCCAGACGGCTCTAATTCGAGCGGACAATCCGCTATGCCCCACTTCTCTTAATAACAAGGTTTCAGGCATTGTCATCGATTTTGCATCACTAATAATTAATTATGGTAAAGAAGAATGAGATATGAGATACGTACAGCTTGCGACAGATGGACGCAAAACGAAAGCTTACTTGCTAGAGTTCGTTTGTTTGTAAGGGATTTTTTTCCTTTTTTGTTGATTCTGTACAATGTTTATACAGTAAAATAATAAAATGTATGTTTGTATATTATGCAATAATTGAGACGGCGCGGCGGCATCCAGGTCTTGCCTCCTTGAAGCGATTCCATATGCCCAACAGTTTTCAAAGCTTTGAAAAGAGGGGGGGAGTTCGGAACCCCAAAAAGTATTAATTTTCATTCCGAACGATTACTAATCTCAAATCTAACTCGATTTGCCGTACCGAACAAAACTAAAAACATTAATAAACATGTTCGCTTTACGGGGAACAGTTGGTAGCTGGTACTATAGCTATACTTAGGTATCAAAATACTCAAAGATTAACTGAGGCCGAAATATTAACTAGAACTATTCTAATGACATTTAACTGTACGTCCGTGCCATTAGGCACAGCATCACTAGAAAATTTGTTTTATGACATAATTATTATGCAGCAGCGTTATATTTCTGTTTATGTTACCGAGGCGAGATGAGGGTTTCATGTTGGGGACTCCCTTGGATAACACAATATTTGCGCCGGCGCACTATCTCGACGAACACGGAAATAAATTTTCAACAGGAAGGAGATAAAGTTCGTCACACGGCTCGCCCTACAGACCGACTACCTACCTACCTCAAAACGGTAAGCAAAAGGTGTTTGACTTTGTGATAATAATAATGTTGCCGTATCAATAAAGGCATATTTTGATAACGTTTACCGACCGAATTCACTTTCAATGCTAATTTTTGCAGTACATACATTAACTTATTCTATCAAACACGAGTTCGATAGTGCTTTCGGTATAAGTTTATTATTAATCATAGAACTAAAATCTAATTTAATTGTTATTTTAAGCATTAGGCTCACCGCAAGAGTCAAAACGTCGCACCGCATCGCATCATGTTTTTCGCCTTGGGAATACAAAGAATAGTGGGAAATAGAGATGAATTTTTCTACAGGCGGAAAACTTGCAACCTGAAGGAGTCGCGCGTCGAATAGGTAAGAATACCTTAATAGTGGGAAAACCATAAGTTTGCTACAGGCGAAACAAAAAAAACCATGACGCGTCTTTTCAGTGTTCTAAAGAGGACTTAGTATTTAAATAATAATCGTGTTCCATTAATTAATTTCAAAGATGCGTAAGAGCAACGGCTGCAGCATAGATTAAGGAGGATGAGACGGGCCGACGTTGATAGGGAATTAATAAACAAGGAGCTGATAATACAGACAGACCAATTGCGGGTGACAGGGCAAGTGTCACGCCGCTGACCTGTATTATCACCACTCATATTTATGGGCAAATAATTACGGGGCACCACCGTGTCGTTTTTGTCGGATATTCTGGGTGAAACGCTTAGGAAAGCTTTGAGGATGCCGAAGATACGTTAATTTAAAAAAGATAAATTAGCTTATTCAGTAACATTACTTGTTATCTTGTCATATTATTAATTTGATCCGGTTACTATGTAGTTGATTCCGCTTGTGTTAAAGTTATCTTTATGCAGGAATGAAGCCTTTGTCTGTGATCTAACCAAAAAGAAATCTAATAAGTATCTTTACTTTAGAGAAGGCGATGCGAAGTAATAAGTTCTTACTTTCCTTTGTTATTTTCTGCCCTCATGCTGCACTACTTCTCGTTTCTTATCTGAAAATCTTTCTGGTAGGAACTACTTAGACACCTACTGCCGATACGGTTAAAATTTTTATTGAAATCATTATAGTTTGTGAGTTAAGTTATAATGTAATTTGTAGATCATAGAATAGTTCTCCATTATTTTTTTTAAATATCCTTATTCGGATTGATTACTAATTTAGCGCAACAGTTCTCAAGTAAGTGATTATAAAGGATCATCTGTCATTAAATTTGTACCTAATAAAATATAGATAATAATATCTTAATATGAAAATTATTCATGGCGCACTCTTTTCTCAGTAAAATGTTATGGACAAAAATAAATTTTGATAAAAGACCACAACAAAAATACGCGGAGCATTTATTCATTCTTATCAATTACAGCTTCAAGTGAAATGCTACGGAATAATTTATTCATAATTGTGGGCAAGTACGATGCAGACTCTGAGCTTCTATTTGTTTTTCATTTTGTACCTACAAATATTATCTCTGTTGAAACTCCACCCACTATGTATTTGTTTACATATCATGAACACGTACGTAGGTATATGCACATAGTCTAAATACATATGTTCATTTCTAATATACTTAATCTTACATGGCGAATCAACAATCAGCTAGGATCGCAAAATATCTAAAAATAAATTTATGAGCATGAACAGACCTGAAAGACGTTATTATATCCAACAAAAATACAAAAAAAAAACTTAAAACTCGACTGCAACGCAATTTATCGAGTACAGTTGCTCGTAGTTAAGTTTTCTTAATATGTATTTCAAATTTTCTACGTAAAGTAGACGGGCAAATTTGTATGGGAGTTTGTCCAATATCGACACCTTTGTGGTGTTTGTGTAGGAGTACCTCAACTACCTATACATAAATACAAAGTGTCATCAAAATCTGACCCGGTAGTTTCGAGAAAAATTACGCTTTATATTAGGTACTTACATTTTAGTACATTTTTTTGCAAGGTGCCGATGACTGGTAGTTTGCAATAGCCTAGGTCCAGTACCTAGGCTAGTCAGTAGTTATTATATTTGTAGTAGATATGTATTAGTTATGTATCAAATAGTTATGCATAAAAAATTAAATTGAATAATAATATTGTTGTGTTCATTATCGTCAAAACAAGATCTGTGTAGAAATAAGTAAATATTTGTTGGAAAAACAATGAGAAACCACCTAAATCTTACAGATAGGGATAGTTTGTTGTAAAGAGATCTCCACTTTTTTTTCTTATTAGGGGCGGGTCGCTTACCCTATTACCTATTAAATAAAGTTCAATATTGTTTATCATCTGGATCTAAGTCGTAAACATTGGTAAAATTAATCCGACCACTTGAACGGATTTCTGTTTCCGCTACAAGCGGCAGAGAGCTTAAGAGTTTAATTATCAAAATGTATCAAATTACCTTCTTATGCTCGTATATGTTTAGTTTTAGTAAATTGATATATGAAAGTAAAACAATCTTCTTGGAAAATCGTGGATAGTAGGTAAGTACGTAATTACCAATCATGCAGAAACATTATTATTTTATTAAAAGCATTTTAAGCTATTCAAAATTTCAGATACTCACATTGACGTTGTTCCCTAGATTTGATCATGGGAAAATCAAACTGCTGACTGTACCTTCCTTAATGACTATTTATAAAATTACGAAAAAAAACTTACAATATAAAATGGAAACCTTCTACATTCCGAGTTATTTAAAAAATAATACCGTTGCGGAATGCCTAACTGGTAGATGTGAACACCCATGCTTATTTTTAAAAGAAAATGAAATAAATGTGTTATGTAAAAGAAAATAAATGTACAGTTAATAACTATAATGACTATAACTTTCATAGTTTAAAACAATATAAGAAAATAAATCTTTAAACAAATCAAAAGATAAAAGTTTATTCTGACGATGCAGACTTGAAAAGGCTGCGAAACGTCAATAAATAAATAAAGTTTCGTGCATTAACCCGTTACACTAGTTTTATTTAAATCAAAAGAAGAAAATGAACCGACTCAAGATCGTCAGCTCGCCTGTTTGTAACTTCAGCAACATGGAAGATCAGTCACTGGACCATATCTTTATCTCCTGCCGTCTACTACAAGTAAAGAGAAATATGCTTTTTCAGGACTTTCGAAATACTTTTGGCGAAGAAACCATTCCGCGTGACTAAAGAAAACTGTTACAAAATAAAGGAATATTAATTTTGAATAGTTTATTTTATTAGGTTCACCAGCAAATATTAACGGACAGATCAACGTAACTATAGATTCCTATTTGAATGGTAATAGGAGAAAAATTAAGTCGTTAATATAAATATGTTATTATTATGAATGGGTAACAATTACAAAATTTATTTACATGCAAAAAAAAGTGAAAACTCACCTAGAAGGCTGCGGCACTATGTTGTCATAGTTAAAGTCTATCAATAGTTTGCCCACGGCTTCGTTGATATCGATCCTGTCGCAAGGAATATTGTGATCTTGGTTCCAATTCATTTCAAAACTTTAGTCGATACTCTTTTGTTCGCGGTTGGGAGTGCGTGTTTCGGAGACGCGCGTGCGGTCGACTCGCGCGCACTGACTATAAAGAGCCCCTTATGCTCCCGCGCATTGCTATACACTCGGTACAGAAAGGGCCCGCTCGAGCCGATATCACTGTTTACATTAAATAATCAATATCAGATAATATCATTACTTATTATATGAAAAGATGCGTAATAATAATAATGTAGAATAACAAGCGCATATTAATAAAATCTCGAAGAAAATTCGTTTCCTACCAGAATTTTATAAGTCTATTAAATAAATAGGTTTATGTTTATATTTTAATTTAAACAATAAACTGCTTTATTTTTATATCGAAAGAAAAGTGAAGAAGGCCTATGTGTCAGGCTGGGCTCGAATCAGGATTTTTTGTAATCCTTTAGTTTAGTTTTGTGTAATATTATTACCTGTCATGTCATGTAAATAATACCAAATAACTCACATAAAATTATTAAAAGTACATTAACTTAGGCGAAATGTATTTACCACTCTATTTGTCAGTAGCAGCTAACGTACCTATATTATTATGATTTTTTTAAAGTTATTAAAGTCGAATTAGGAAAATCATACCCGCCTGCATTATTTAATTATACCCTTAGGAGATATACTAGAATAAAATCAGCAAGCGCTCCGTGCTTGCATTACGTCTTTCATATTGGCCGCGGTGGGCGGCGCACGCGCACCGCCTCGCAATGCCATTGGCGCGTGCCACTGCCCGCTATGACGTCACAGCTCCAAGCTTCGCCTCTCCGCGCCTAAACACCGACAAAGTTATCTGGCAATTGGACGATGGCCTTAATGCTAACTAATACTTACAATTACGTATGTATTCCTTTATTTTCGCTTGCGAGTATAACATAGTGGTGGTGTAGATAGGAAATTATTGTTCCAAATTACTATCCTATATGCTGCACGTTAAATGATTTCTTGCGCCCATTCTTCTTATCAGGTAGAAGTTGTCCTGAATGAGTAGAAAAAATAAAATATTAAGGATTTAAAAGATATTTTAAAAGTCAATATGAATAAAGTATCATTTCCTTTCACTAAGTAAGTAGTCCTTCCTACATTTAACTATGAGTACGTACTACTTCATGACGGCCAAGTTTTAGGTATTTTCATTTGTTAGCCTAATTTAAATTTAATACGCATTTCTTTAAGGGTGATATACACCTCCAAGGAAGGCAAAATATGAATAGTGCGACAGTATTAAAACAAACAGGAAGTGTCGAGTTAATTTGTCTCCTGGGTCGATGGCCTGAGAGACAGGTGTGCGTGAGGTCGCGTAAAGCTGTCCATAAAAGTCTTCAATCTCTGCAAAAAGTTCAGATCTGCATGCAATGACTCAACCATCCTCTGTTTTCAGCTCTGTCAGCAGGCTCTGTCCAAGAAACAGGTGTCTGGCGAACAGTTTTGAGCCTTTGACATTCTGCTCGATGACCACTTTAATACGCTCTGCATTAAATTGGCGTACCTAGGTAGGTATATCGCGAGTCAAAGACTTGGTGATCTGTTTATTTACCTGCCGACCGACATCTAAATAAAATTTTGATAGAGAAATATTGTTTCGGGTTGTAGTGCTCGTAGAATGCAATAAATGTTATACTATTTCAAAATAATAGGTTAGGGAAAAAAGTCTTCGTCGTCATCTTCGCATTATTATGTATGAAATTGTAATAAAATCTCTTTGGCTATATGTACCTGTATACCTACATATATATTATCTGTATATCTGTGTGGCTATTATGTGGCAAATTAGAAAAAAGTTTGATAATCATTTGTTTTTCGTAAGAAAAATTTATAGTAATATCAAGTCTTCATAGACTCACTTATGTGAATCTAACTATAAAAATTTTTTTTTTTTAAATTTGTGACGTTTATGGACCTAGTGCAGTGTGGATCTGTGAGAGAAGCACATTAAACGTTTTCATTCAACCCGGAAATTTTGATGACCTTTGTTATCATCTTTATGCACGCCCTGTTACGGATAAAATGGATGCCATTTTTTAAAAAGTTGAGCAAGATCGGCATATAAGGTAGTAACGACGTAGCTGAAGAACTGGAAATTGCCGACAAAACCTTTTACGCTAACACTTTAGCGTGTGTAAAAAAAGAGCTAAAGAAACCAGCTGCTGTGTAGCTAGTTGCCTAGCTAGCTGCTTAGCTAGCTGCTATGAGAGAAGCACATTAGTGCTTAATAGCGTTTTCAATCCGGAAATTTTGATGACAAAGATGCACGCCCTGTTACGGATAACATGGATGCCATTTTTTAAAAAGTTGAGCAAGATCGGCAAATACGGTAAGTTACGACGTAGCTGAAGAATTGGAAATTGACCAATAGTTACTAATGACTAACCCCTATTCATATTCAACCTGAATGATATTTTCTATTTGCCTACGCAATTTTACGCTCAATCCCAAATAAACTTGGAGGTGTCATTGCTTTATTAATATCAATTTTAATTATTCTTCTCTTTACTTTTTATAAAAAAATTCAAGGTAATAAATTTTTATTGATTAATATCAATACTATTTTTTAACGTTTAATTAACGTAAAAACCAATTCAAGCTAGTTGCCTAGCTAGCTGTATAGCTCGTTGCCTAGCTAGTTGCTTAGCTAGCTGCCTAGCTAGCTGCCTAGTTGCCTAGCTAGTTGCTTAGCTAGTCGCCTAGCTACCTGCCAAGTTAGTAGCCTAGCTACCTGCTTAGCTAGTCGCCTAGCTAGCTGCCTGGCTAGTTGCTTAGCTAGCTGCTTAGCTAGTGGCCTAGCTAGCTTCCTAGCTAGTTGCTGAGCTAGCTACCTAGTTAGCTGCTGAGCTAGTCACCTAGCTAGCGGCCTAGCTAGTTGCTTAGCTAGCTGCCTAGCTAGCTGCCTAGTTGCCTAGCTAGTTGCTTAGCTAGTCGCCTAGCTACCTGCCAAGTTAGTAGCCTAGCTACCTGCTTAGCTAGTCGCCTAGCTAGCTGCCTGGCTAGTTGCTTAGCTAGCTGCTTAGCTAGTGGCCTAGCTAGCTTCCTAGCTAGTTGCTGAGCTAGCTACCTAGCTAGCTGCTGAGCTAGTCACCTAGCTAGCGGCCTAGCTAGTTGCTTAGCTACCTGCTAAGCTAGTCGCCTAACTGGCTGCCTTGCCTTGTTTTTGAATATTAAGCTAGCTGCTTAGCTAGTTGCTGAGCTAGCTGCCTAGCTAGTTTCGGGATTATAAAAGAGTAAGTCGACTCTTGGTCGACCTACTTAACTAACCTGTCAATAGGTTAACATATACGTACGTATATGACGTTTATATTATAAAAATAATACTTTTTGACGTTTATATATACATAAACGTTTATATATAAACGCAGTTATAAAAAGCAGTTTTGATTGCGGTAAACCGCGACGCAAGAGCGCAAAGCGCAGACAAGGCATAGTGTTTATATGTATGTATGTTGCCACAAATGGCACACTAGAGACCAAACGCGTGGACCAATATTGATGATTTATACATCAATCGATTCGTCTTAATCATGGGAGTGCTACTGAAGATATGATAGTTATCAAAATTCAATATAGGGACAATTAGGCGCTATATTGCGACTAGAGGGAATCCTCCGAGATCGAATGATCCCGGTCGATTTCTCTACTCCCGGGATTTCAGGATTATCTACAGTTAATCTCGGGATAGTCCCGGGATTGTATTGGTAATAGAAAATGGTAACAAAAAGACAGTAAAACATATCAAAATCAACTTTTTATTTCAAAATTTTAGAAAACAAAACAAAATTATACTTACTTCTGATAAAATAAAACTATTTGCCTAGTTTATTTTATTTTACAACAATTTTAAAACAAACAACTTCTTAAGACTTGTTTATATAAACTATAAAAAAGACTATATGCTAAAGAGATCAACGTTTATACAATGCGATTCAACTAAGAATAGGACCGACTGAGCGCCATATTATGACGTCATAGCTGTCAATTCAAACCAGTTAGGTAGAGTGAGCAAAAAAGATTTTCTATAATAAATAGATTTACCAAGTTTAAGTGAGAAATAAATATCAGATTTTTAATAATATTTATTTAATAATAAATTATGGCTGAGTGAGAAAAAACATTAAATAGAATCTAGCTTTTTAATTTCGCTCATCTCTGCACTACAATCGGCGTAGTCATCATCATCACTGCTGCTTTCGGCTACAAAATAAAATATCGATTATTGTAGGTTTTAAAACGACAAATTTATTTATAATAAAAATGGTATTTTTATTGCATTTATTCATAATAAAACTAAAGTTCTTGTATTTCCCTTTTCCAGTACTCATTTTCTATACGTTTCATATGATTTATTTACTGCTTTTGTTTGGTATTTATTCTAAGATAGTCTCAAAAAAGTGTTCCAAGTTAAATTAAATTAAATTCCAAATGTGATAAGATACCTACCTACGCAATGTGCACAACCGACTACGCGCACTGGCTCCGGCTCATGCATTTCGCTGTTTTTGTCGGCTCGTTTCGATATGGTTATTTTTTTTAACGGAAGGCATGCACACACACACACGCTACACCAAACACTTACGTACACACTCATTTACACAAAGTAAGTTATCATGCTCCTTTTATAATTTTGATTTATATAGGTATTTATATTTATCGCAAAATTAATTTGAATCTTTGTTGGTATTTCTTTTATATTATTGTTAATTTGTAATTTCTACCCTACGTAATCATTTTAATTTTTGAATTGAATACAAATTGAGTTTCTGTAATTGGCTAAAGTACCGTTTAAAATTTTATATTAGATTATATTGTGTAAAACGATGTTGAAACTTGTTGATGATAAATAAAAAAAAAAAGTTGTTTTGCAAACTGTACTTTTCAAGTGACATTTGACAGATGGAGGTCATTGGCTTTCTTATTCTTATTTGAATCGCATAGTAGGTACTCATATTTTAAATTAAGCCACGAAAATAAAATCTAAGGAATAACACTTATGTACACACTCATTTACACAAAGTTAGTTATCATGCTCCTTTTATAATTTTGATTTATATAGGTATTTATATTTATCGCAAAATTAATTTGAATCTTTGTTGGTATTTCTTTTATATTATTGTTAATTTGTAATTTCTACCCTACGTAATCATTTTAATTTTTAAATTGAATACAAAGTGAGTTTCTGTAATTGACTAAAGTACCGTTTAAAATTTTATATTAGATTATATTGTGTAAAACGATGTTGAAACTTGTTGATGATAAAAAAAAAAAAAAAAAAAGTTGTTTTGCAAACTGTACTTTTCAAGTGACATTTGACAGATGGAGGTCATTGGCTTTCCTATTCTTATTTGAATCGCATAGTAGGTACTCATATTTTAAATTAAGCCACGAAAATAAAATCTAAGGAATAACAATGCATCCAACGTCTCATCTGAAAGAATACTCTTAATTTGTTGCACAAATAGGAAGAGGTGGAAAAAGCGCGTACAGGCAATTAACAAAAAAATATCAGCATTTACACGACGTGTAGCGGAATTTTTACATACTTTTACACATAATCCGGTACCGGTCGTTAGCAAAAATAAATAAAGTCAGCTGTGTAAACAAGATGGCAGTCAAATCGTCAAATGAAAGTAAGTGCGTTTCGTTTCACACATATTTTATTGACTTATATAAAAAAAAACAATCCCGAAAATCCCGCGATTCATTTAATTTCA